AGTATAACTTTGGGTAGGAAAAAGCTGTCAATAAATTCTGACAAGACATTCTGAATAATTCCATTTTTATTTTGCCTTTATTCTTAAAGTTCTTGTTTTCACCGTGGTAAGTATATATGCAACAAATTGCTTGTCTTTTCAACATGCCTCACATATATAATTCAAGATAAATTATTGATTTTTAAAGTGCATTTCAGAGATGGTAATTGGCAGAAGAGGGAAAGTATGCCTTACAACAAAGCAAAGTTTAATAAAACAAACAGCACATGTTGGTAAGATTGTGGAGAAATTGGAGCTCTCCTACACTGCTGGTGGAAATGTAGTGCCATCACTAGGGAAAGTAGTTTGGCATTACTTTACAAATGGGAATAGAAACACCACTTGATCTACCAATACTAGATATCCCAAAGAAATAAGAGCTGGGACACAAACACACTCTCTGTCTCCCTCTTTCCCTCCCCCTCGTCCCTCTCTCTCTCTTTTCTTCTTCCTCCCCTCTCCCTTCCTTTCTCCCTCTCCCCGCTCTCTCCCTTTCCCTCTCCCCCCTCTCCTTTTCCCTCTCCCTCTCTCTCTTCCCCCATCTACATCTCTCCCTCTCCCCCTCCCCCTCCCTCTTTCCCTCTTTCTTTCGAGAGACACACACACACACACACACACACACACACACACACACACACACGTTGTTGTTTTTGTTGTTAAGTGCTGTAGAGTCATAGATGACCTAGAGCGACCCTATGAATGAAAGTCTTGAACACAAAACTTTCATCTTTTCTCCAGGTTTTTAGGGTTTCAGGAGAAAGCTTTGTGGATGCCACTCCTGCTTCCAAGCCTGTTTTATTCAGGAGATCCACAAATAGCAGGCCTCAGGGCCTTTTAAAATATGAGGCCAAATCCAATCAGCTCACACCCTACTATAGCTTTATTTACAGTAATAAAGAGATGGAAACAACTCATGTGTCATTCAACAGATGAACAACTGAAGAAACTATAGTCTATGCACACGAGTACTATGTATTACTAAAAAGTATCAAGAATTCATGAAATACTGCATAACATGAGGGAATTTAGAACATTATGCTGTGTGTCACAAGACATAAAAGGACAGTTATGGTAAAAGATCACTATTATAAAAAGTTAATGAAAGTTTTATCAACTCCTATGTGAGTTACTGCCTCTGAAAACTCACTAAAGGGTCAGTTATGGGTCGGCTCCAACTCTGAGGTATGCGACAGTAACAACAGCAACGAAAAGTCTACACGTAGACTCGAGTGATTACAGTGGAGTAACTCTTGGGTGGTTAACAGGAATGTGAAGGAAGGGAGAAGGGAGGAAAGAGAATAAGTAGTTGTAGGTGCTGTGGGGATGACTGCACCTCATTGGGACCCTGTGAACACAGGACTTGCCCTGTCTGGTCTCCACCCTCTCTCATATGCACGAGCTTATTGTCAGGACTCCCTGTGCCACTCTACCTTGTTGAGGCTCGTCTTTTTTCCCTGGCCCTCCATCTTTCCCAGCATAATGTCTTTTTCCAAAGACTGGCCTCCCCTGACAAAATATCCAAATTATATGAGGTGGAGTTTCCCAGATCCTTGTCTTTAAGGAGCACCCTGGTTGCACTTCACTCATAGTAGACAGGTTTGTTCTTTTGGTGCTCCATGGGATATTCCATACTTTGTTGCTCCCACCAGAGTTAAAGGCATCAATTCTTGTTCTGACCTTTTTATTCATTGTCCAAGAATCATAGGAAGCAATTGAAAAAGACTATGGCTTCTATCAGTCCTGCCTTAGTCTTTAAATTTACATCCTTGCTCTTTAGAACTTTGGGGAATTCCTTGACAGCACTTTTTTTCTCAATGCAGTATGGTTTGATTTCTTGACTGCTGTTTACAATGGGTGTTGATTGTGGATCCATGTAAAATGAAATCGTGGACAACTTCAGTCTTTTCTCCACCTGCCATGATGTTGTCTGTTGGTCTAGTGGTGAGGACTTTTGTTTTACTGATGTTGAGGTGTAATCCATATTGTAAAACTCATTGACATAGAGTTTGGAGCAGATTTATAGCTGACCCTCCAGTGGTTTTCCCAGATACTGTAAACTGCCCAAGAGGCAGTTGTGTTGCCCATCACTTGGAGCTGCTGGTAAATTCAAGGTCCTGGAGAGTGCCCCCTTTGGGTTAGTGTTGTAACTCCCTAGAGGCCATGCCAGAAGAAGTCAGTGTGCAATAAGTGGGCGATTAGACTTTGTAATTATTTGCATTAATCAGTTGCAATTAGGGTTATAAAACAGCATATGAAACTTTCAAATTAGGGTTATAAAACAGCATATAAAACTTTCACTCAAATTAAAAAAAGATACGTCTTAGAATTCTTGAAATACAGTGCATCAGAAGGCTTTTATAGTAATGAAAAATGAACCAAAATTGATGATGGTCATAAGTCGGGGAAACATAGCTAGACCCCTTGTAAATATATAATACTCTATCACAAATAAATGATATTTACTAGGATAAATAGTTCAGTATAAATCTAGGTGTATGAAAACAGGATTTTCAACAATGGTGATAAATTTACAAAATTAGGCGCAATTTTAAAATCGAAACAATCTAGATGGTTTAAAAGTTTGCTTTTTTAAAGGCCTCTTTGGAGCCAGACGTCAAAATATGGTCAGGGTTAACTTAAGCAGTCCATAACTCCACAAAGATACTAATATTTAATTAGAGTTATCCACCCAACAGTTTCATTCTTAAGAATAAATGCTTCTTCTGCCTAGTTAAGGCAGGAGTACTAACTTAAACTTCTTTTTCCTCCCTTTTAAGCAGTTCTGTTCTTAATCTGTTTCAATGCAGTGTACGTTATTTATCCCCTTATCTTAGTTTTCACCCAACTCTCCTCTCAGTCCTGATTTAGAATAGTGGTGTTATGCAGTATTTGTCCTTTTGTGGCTGAGATATTTCACTCAGCATAGTGTCCTTCAGGGTCACCCATTTTGTATAATATTTCATGAGGTCCTTGTTTTTCAGTTCTGCATAGTATTCCATTCTGTGACTATACCACAGCTTCTCTATCCATTTGTTTGTTGATGGGCACTTGGGTTGTTTCCATCTCTTTGCTATTGTGAACAACACAGCAATAAATGTGTGTGTGCATCTATCTGTTTGGGTGGCGTTATGATTTCTTTAGAACTTTTTAGAAACTTCAACTTTGTTGGTGAGTTTGGGTTTTGCACCCTAATTAGAATCAGACATAAACTCCTTTCAGCGTATGTCATGTTTAGTTGAGGGGTATGGCTTGAAGCTCTTCTCTTTTCATTTGATTCTTTAAACAAAAGTTAATTTTGAGTTGCATGCTACAAGTCATTTGCCTTCCTTTTAGTTTCAGTCTGTACTCCTACAGCTCCCCACTCCTCCTCACATGCACACCCCACCCTCTTTTCAGGCAGTATCTCTCCTCTAACAAAATCTGTTCACTATAAAAGCTCCTGATAGCAGTTATTTATAGCCTCCTGTGAATGAATTCTAGGTAAGGTGTTAGATTGCCCAAGGTTGTTTGCTTTTAAGCCTTGTCTCTAATTATCTGCTAAAAATCATTATTGATTTAAACACCTTTCAAGCCTCTGCTAGCCACTTGGAACGGATTTTGTGGGAATGGTTGGGGGAGGAGGAGAGAAGGCTGCCTCCTCCTCAGCCTCTGCAGAATGTAAAGACAGATAACAGAGCACCTCACTTCCTTTCCCACCCTACAGTGTTCCACCTAATGCAGCAGCTGGCTCCCTGCCTTTGTGCTGGAAATCAGTAAGAAAGCTGACTTCATTTTATGGCTGATTTTACTATGTCTGAAAAGAAAACAAAGTTAAATAATAAATAGCCACATGTCTGACTAACTTCATTGAATTTTTATCAGTTTTCTTCCTTTTGATAGAACCTATTGAATTGCAAGGAAATCCTATGATATAAAGAATTCTTTTGTAATTTGAATAGCCATTTCCTAATTTACCTGTTTTCTCAATCTCAATGTTTACAGAACTCATGAACTTAAATAAAACTTTACATTTTGAATGAGTGATACTCCAGATATTGAACCTAGGGGGTTTTTTGGTGGGTTTTGTGTGTTTTGTTTTTATCTCCAACCAAAAAAACTAAACCTACTGCTATGCAATAAATTCTGACTGATTGGATCCTATAGGACAGAGCAGACGGTCCCTAAAAAGACTTCCCAAAAGGTGAAATCGTTCTGAAAAGCACCTGGTAGGTTCATACCATCAATGTTTCAGCCACCAGCAGACTGTTTTAGGCACTGTCCCATCAGCTTTCAACCAAACCAACTGCCCTCAAGTTGATGGCTCATACATGACTAATCTCCATCAAGATTCCAAGGCTGTAAAATCACTAGGGGACAGCCTCATTTTTCTCCCAGGGAGTCTCTGGTGGATTTAAGTGGCCAGCTTTAGGATTAGCAGGTGTCCTGTAATACATTGTATCACCAGAGCTCCTTGAATTATCTCTGGGCCTGCCTGAAGAGATACTGTAAATGTAAGGGCAACTTGGCTGTTGGTTAAGCTGTAGAAGATGTCCTGATTTTACTTGAAGATGAAAGCAAAATTTATTCTCTTTAAGTTTATTTTTAAATTAATGCATTCATCAGAATCTCCATACTTTTTGCAGACTACATACTTAGTAAACACATTAGCCTGATCCTGGGTTTATAGTATCAGACTGCTATGTAAAAAGCTTATAAACAGAGATCCTCTCTGCATTCCTGGATTTGGGTCTACAAGAAAGTATTTTCTTGGCTAATGGTGTACAGTACTTTTTTTTCCCCTTCTAGCTTACATTAGCTTATAAATTTAGATGGAAAAAGTTTCATCTTTATTGTTACATTTTCTACATTTAAATAAAGTGTAATGCAAAGATTTATTACATCGTTGTGTGTAGTCTGTGGTAGGGTATTTGTTGTTGACATTGTAGTGTTCTCTGTGTCTGAATGACTTTCTGTCTCTGCAGCTTGGAGTCTGGTTTTCACTGGGTTGTGCCTACTTGACCATGGAAGACTATGGAAATTCAGCAAAGTCATTTCAGCGGTGTGTGACTCTCGAGCCGGATGTAGGTTTGCTTGATCGTCTTTTTCTTATTTCAGCTCTTTAATAGTCTGTAAATTATTATAATTGTGCTATTATTCAATAGGGAAAAAAATTCCTCTTGTGCTGGAGGAAAAGAAAACTTTGAAGGAAGGTCATACCTTAAAAGATACATGATTTATAAATCTGGAAGTCAAGTTGTTTCACATAAGCAACTTATTTTAAAACACTTATTTTCATGGTTTTATTTAGAAAATAATCTTGATAAGACTTTTCTAGTTGAAAATGTGCTATTCTGAAGAATACAGCAAAATATTGCCTATAGTTTTCGATTGACTAGCGTATCTGTGTATATATGTGAATTGTGTTATTGGAATGTCCTTTTGCTGAGGTTGTTGTTGTTCTTGTGTACAGTGAAGCCAGAACTGACTCATAGATCACCCTCCAGAGGGCTTTCAGAGGCACTTAATTGCATGGGAGAGATTGGCCATCCTTCTCTCATGGAGCAGCTGGTGGGATTCAAACCATGTGCCTTCAGGATTGCAGCACAACTTCTTCCCACTAGGCCAAGAGAGTGGAAAAAAGGATACAATGCTGATGTACACTTTTCTTGATTTTAAACCATGCTGTTCCCTATTCTAGTTAGACAGTAGCTTTTTGATCTAGGTATAGATTTTATATATATTAAATGTTCTAGGTTTCCCTGTCAACTAAGTGACAGCTGTAATTTGTTGTGATCCACATAGTCAAATGTGTTTACGTAAGTCATTAAAATACAAATAGACATCTTTCTGCTGTTCCCTGCTTTCAGGCAAAATCCATCTGACCTGGTGCCATGTGCTAATCTAAATCCAGCTTGAATTTCTGGCAGTTTTCTGTTGATGCTCTAATTGCTTTTGGATAGTCTTTAGAAATGTTTTGCTTGCATATGATGTTAGTGATATTGTTCAATAGTTTTTGAACAGTATCACTTATATGCTCTGGAGTCTTTTAAAAAATGTAGTAACTTTTTTACTTCATATGCCATATGATTTACTCATTTAAAGTGTGTATGTAATTCAGTGAATTTTAATATATTCAGAATTGTAAAGTTATCACCACAATCAATGTGAAAATACTGTTACCACTTATAAAAGAATCTGTTGTACTCTTTAAACTGTAACTTCCCATTCCCCTGAGTGCCAGGTCTTTCCCTATATCCTTTCCCCACAAACCTGTTGTTATGTACCATAGAGTTGGAACCCATAGCTGACCCTCCAATGGGTTTTCACAGGCAGTAATCACGCACGAGGAGATTATTCGTCCTCCTGCGGAGCAGCTGGTGACCTCGAACCATGTGCCTTCGAGATTGCAGTGCAACTTCCTGCCACTAGGCCACTAGAGCTCCTTACTTTACTGATTAACATTAGTGATTGGGGAGATTTTTGAAATTTGAACTCTTATACCTTCCTTTTCCCCCACAAACCTAGGCAACCAATAAAGTAATTTCTATCCCTATAGATTTTTTTACTTTGCACATTTGATATAAATAGAATAATTTATTATCTGGTCTTTTTGGGATTGGCTTCACCACAATGGTTATACTGTTTTACATACACCCAAGCAATATTTAATTGTTCTTCTTTCTTTATATCCTCCCCAACACTATTACCTGTCTTTTATTACAAGCATTTTAATGGGTATGAAGTGCTGGTAGCAATTGTGGTCTTGACTTGCATTTCTCTGATGGCTCAGGATGTTGAATATCACTTCAGATGTCGAGGGACTATTTCTGTATCTATTTTAGAGAAGTATCTATTTACACCTTTAACCCATTTCTAAATTGAGTTATTTTGTCTTTTTATTATTTAATGGTAAGAGGTTTTTGTATCCTAGATGCAAATGCTTTATCAGACATACCATTTGCAAATATTGACTTCCATTTTCTGGGTTTATATTTTTGTTTTCTTGGTGCTATCCTTTGAAGCACAAGAGTTTTTAATCCTGATAAAACCCAATCTACTTTTTCTTCTGTGGCGTTTGCATTTGTTGTCATGGATAAGAAGGCTTTACACACCTTTATGAAAACATAATGCCTATCTGTATTTTCTTTTTTTTTTCTTTCCTATCTGTATTTTCTTATGAGAATCTTGTTATTTTAGTTCTTACATTTAGGCTTTGTTTTATTTTTTATATTACTAAAATTTTTAATTTTAATTGTGATTTTAACAAAAGTTTTCATTTGTTCATTGTTGTACATATTACCTCTTCCCTCACTTCCCCCTCCCCAGTTCACATTTTTATAATTTATGCTAGTTCATTTACAAAATTTGAATACATTGTTTTCTAGAATAGATTCTTCCAATTTCCCTCACCCCCCCATCAAATTGTACCAACCCCATGACTGATCCCGCTATTTTGAATATACTTTGTTGTATTGTGTTATAAAGGAGTCCAACATCATTGTTTTACATGTGAAATGTACACTTGGGCCAAAACCAATTATGCAGAAGACTTTTTCCCCATGTTAAATGGCTTTGCCACCTTTTTTGAAGTTTACATTCTCAGGGTTTATTTCTAAACTCTTAACTCTATTTCCCTGGTGTCCCATTCTGCCTTTATTACTAATGTTTTGAGTAAGCTACGAAATTGTTATGTGGTAGTCTTCTGGCTTTGTTCCTTTTCAGGATTGTTTTGGACAATTCATCGTCCTTTAATTTTCGGTTTGTTGTTTTATAATTAATTTTTTATGCAGATTTCTGTCACACTTTCCTTTATTGACATGTTTCATACAATCATTCCCATACATTTTGTTATATAAAATTAATCACCATTGGACTACGCCCACCATTATCCTGTCTTTTCAGGTCCCCACCGGATCTTTCTCATTCCCTTTACCCTCTCCGCCCACCCTCCAAATTGTGTGACCCTGTGGTTTTACCGCTACCCATCCTTACCCCTCTTCTCCCACCTCTTTCCTCCTTTGGGCGCCCATGTGTGTTTCACTAGTTATCCTTTTATTTTTACAATAATGGTTTTATGCAGTATTTGTCTTTATGACTGAGTTCACTCAGCATAATGTTCTTCAGTCTCTCCCAAGTTATATAGTATTTTTCGAAATTATTATTCCTGAGTGCTACATAGTATTCCATTTTGTGAATGTACCACAATTTCTCAATCCATCTGGTAATTTTTATATGAATTTTACGATCATTTTGTTAGTTTATACAAAATAGGTTGCTGGAATGTTGATAGACATTTTGTCACATTTGTAGATCTACTTGCCCAGTATTGCCATTTAATATTATTAAGTCTCTGGTTCATGTCCATAGTGGGGGGGTTTCCCCATTTAGTTAGGTCTTTAATGCATTCTAAAAAATATTTTATACTTTTCGAAGTATACATTTTATACTTCTTTTATTATTCTTAAATATTACCATAACCCCATTAAAATGAGCTATTTTATTAATTTTCTTTTCAGATTCTTCATTGCTGGCTTATGGAAATGCATTTGTTTACTTATATTTGTGCATTAATTATGTATCCTACAACTTTGCTACACTTGTTCATTTGTCATAAAGCTCTATTCAGTATTTTTCAATTTTGTTTTTATAATGCTGTGATTTTGAAGATTTACCAAACAGTTTAGGTTGTCATTCAAAATTTTTTACAAAAGTTAGTTTACACATTGGTTATATTCCTGTGTTAACATTTTCTTTATTTTATTATTTTTTGTGTGTACCATCAAATCAGATCTGACTAGTACAGGAGGAGATTGTTCCTCTTTCTCTAGCAGAGCATCTGGTGAATTTGAATCACGCACCTCTGGGATTGCAGTGCAGGTTCTTGCCACCAGGCTACCAAAGCTCGCCCTGTGTTAACATTTTCATTATTTCTTTTCTGGTTGAGCATCTGTTCCAATAGTTTTGTTTTTTTTTTATTTTACTAGACTTAGGATTTTCTTCCATATAGGATCATGTTGTGTTCAGTAGAGATAATTTTACTTCTGTTTTCCTATCCTGAGGACCTTTACTGCTTTCTTTTTCATAAGTATGACGATTGAACCTCTGTGTAATGTTGAATTGTTGTTGTTAGGTGCCATCAGGTCAACTAAGACTCACAGCATCCCTGTGAACAATAGATCTAAATCATGCCCTATCCTGTGCCATACCTGAGTATACATCTCTGATACATTTGAGCTCATTGTTATTGTCACTGTATTAATCCATCTTGTCCCAGGTCTTCCACTTTTTTCTCCGACCTTCCATCTTTCCCAGCATTTGTTTTTCCAAGTACTGACCCCTCCTAACAACATGCTCAAAATACATGAGACAAACTTTCGCTATCCTTGCCTCTCAGGAACACCCTGGTTGCCTTTTCCCAAGACTTAGTTCTCTGTTTTTTTTGGCAGCCCATGGAATATTCAGTACTCTTCTCCAACATCACAGCTCATAGGCATTGATTGCTGTCTGTCATCCTTATTCATTGTCCAACTTTTAGACACATAGCAAGGAATTGAAAAGACCATGACTTGAACCATGTGCACCTTAGTCTTTAAATAGTCATTGTTATTTCTTAGCACCTCAGGGAGAACCTTGACAGCAAATTTTCCCATTCTAATATGTCTTTTGATTTCTTGACTGCTGGTACCAAGGTTGGTTGTGGATCCAAATAAAATGAAATTGTTGACTACTTCAGTCTTTCCTCTGTCTATCTTGAAGTTGCCTATTGGTCTAGTGGTAAGAATTTTTGTTTTCTTGATGTTGAGATGTAATCTGTATTAAAAGATGTAGTCTTTGATCTTCTGCAGCAAGCATTTCAAGTCGTCCTCACCTCCTGCAAGCAAGGTTGTATTATCTGCATAATGCAGGTTGTTGATGAGTCTTTCTCTGATCTGGATGCCACATTCTTCCGCATCAAGTCCAGCTTTTCAAATTTTAGGGGGATACCATTCAACCGTAGATAACCCCCTACCAGGTAGAGGAAGTTCCTTTCTATTACTAATTTATTGATTGCTTATATCATGGAAGTGTTGCATTTTGCCAG